CTTACATACCCGGCTGCAGAGGCTGCAGAAGTTGGGATTTCAATTCCTCACGGTGCCAACAGGGAGAAGAGCCAGCCTATGCAGCTATGGGCAAGCTGCGTGGTCCCAGGGCACCCCTCAGAAGACTACTGTAAACTACTTCTGACTGCTCCCTGCCTAGAAAACCCTGGAAAGGGTCACAATGAGTCAGATTCAGGGTAAACTGCTTCTGACTGCTCCCTGCCTAGAAAACCCTGGAAAGGGTCACAATGAGTCAGATTCAACTTGATCATATGCCATTATTATTACAACAAAGTGGAGTCTGTTGCACTGGTCAGAACATTAAGACATACATTTAATGAATCATGGAAGAAATAAAAAAGGCAAACTTATTGAAATATTTCCATTTATTTCCTTTGTAAACTCTGAAATAATATCACATGCACCACAATGTAATGTATGAAATTTTGAAAACTTAAGATCTGAAAACACTGTGCTCAGATATATTCTCTGGGGCCACCTCCTTTCCCACACAGACATGCAGTACAACACATACAGACTAGAAATTAATGGAATATAACAATACAACATTAAATCTTTAATCAGCAAAATTATAATTGGTCAGTTGCACATTTCTTTTTCTCTTTCTCTTTCAAGAATGTTATTTGTTTGAGAATTGTAATTTACTTTTCATTATGAAACAGTACACCTTTAAGATACTAAAACTATGGCTTTTTGAATGCAATAAAAAGTTTATCCCATGATTGAAAAAACATGATTTAAAAAACCCAGAAATTGTATTTTGAAAGTTAGTTTCCTAGCTAAAAATTCATATATGGAAGCTCAGTTTTTGACCAATTTGTCCTTTAAAAAGGACATCAAGGAAAACTTTGATGTTCTTTTGATGATCTATTGGATGCACACAATAGTGTTGATTTAAATGAATTACTTTGTCTAGATTTATATGTCTTCTCCAGCTTTCACTGACATACTATAAACTGTAAAAGAAGGGTGTTAATAACCTCTAAGGGTTCCATGTAGAAAAGTGTGCTTCTTAAATTGCAGTGTATTTGCTTTCTTATCACCTGTGTATGCTGTTGTAACAGATGTGTCACCAATAATCAATAGAAGTAATCTGAAGAAATACATTTCAAAATTTCACTTAAATATATATACAGTATTATGAACTCTGGAAATAAACATATCAGGCAAATTGAATTCTTGTGTATTCACTATATTGAGTACACTGAATAATTGGATAAATCTCCACGATGCAACACCTCTGACAATCATATTTTTGACATTACATGCTGATTAAACATTAATATAATTAAGTGAAAAATTAATTGAATAATTCCAAACTTGGTTTGGAAAGTATGTTCTTGGAAAAACAAGCTACAGGGATGTAAAGTCAAAATCTGTATGATTCCACTGAAAATTAAACATCACTGAGTGAACTTTTAAATCAATGGGGGAGAGAGAATTGGCATATTCCGTTCAGCTGAACAACTGGAAAGAAGTGCGTATTTTCCCAAATGACTTTCTACCCACCACCTGTATATCTCCCACCACCCCCGCAAGTGTTTCACTGTTACACAGCAGTGCCAGCAGAGAAGAGAACTGCTGGATAGCTGAATGGTTTAAGCATTTGGATGCAGAGCCGAAGACTGAGAGTTCAGTTCCCACATGTACCTCCTTGACAGGGGCTAGACTCAATGATTATAGGATCCCTTCCAGCTCTAAGATGATGATGAGGATGACAAAGCTTGCAAAGCAGTATTTGTAAAGCCTGTGATCCCTTCCAGCTCTAAGATGAGGAGGACGAAGCTTGCAAAGCAGTATTTGTAAAGCCTGCAGGTCTTACCCACACACCATTTTTGTCCTTATCCATTTGCTCTCCTACTCACATTCTTATATCGTGTCTTCCATTACTTTTTTTATCTTGTCTTCCATTAGCAAAAAAAACCTTACCCGTAGTTCCTGGCTACCAGTCATGTTTATGAGCCACCACCTGCAAGCCATACCTCCTTCTGAGGCTTGCCCACAGCTTAGCCAGTAAAATCTTTCTATGAAAATGGCCCATCCAAAGATTATGTGTGCTGCCTAATTTAAAGTCCCATTCTTTATTAGGCCTCTAACATAAGCACATACACATTTTGAGTCATATTGGGTGAAGGAAGCTACAACTTGACAATGAGTATCTGTGGAAAGGGAAATCGCATAGCATCTTCTTTCTCTTTTTAAGCATTTCTGGAAATAACCTTTCGAGTAAAAGTTTACCTCTGCAAAACACTGATTGAAACACCAGGCTGTGGTGCCCAATTGCAAATAGGCTGGTGTAAGGAATTGTGTGTTCCATGTTATCTTCAAATGTGATGCCACTATTGTAGTTCCGTCCTAATTAGGAAGAATCCTATGTCGCTTTGAGTTGTTGTAGACTGCAAAGTTAGGCAAGAGTAAGAAAGCTGTTCCTAGTATGTCTGCATGGATGCAGTTATGAGAGATTCCCATATTACTCTTTGTGTCTGTGAAGTGTGAACACATAAATAAAAGGAAAAACTACATTTAACATTTGTAATGCTGTTTTTCATTGTGTAATGTTTTGTTCCAAACAAAAGAAGGTGTAAATGAACTTAAGTTGATGTGATGAGATATTTATGAGAAAGCTGATGGGGATTCAAGGTCAAGAGGGGTCGTAACCATTATTTCTAATAAATGTGAATTTACATAAATTGAAGAAAGATGACAGAGGTAGATATATAATATTTGCAAGATATAATGAAAGGCAAAGAATATACTTAAATTAATGTTTATTCCACAAACATCAAGAGAAGTTTTTAAAACAAGTGTTTAATCAATTATAAAAAAATATAGAGGGGGTTTGCAATAATGGCTGGAGATTTTAATATGGTATGGATAAAAGGAAGGATAAATCAAGTCCTACTCAGAAAGAGAAAAGAAATATTACAATTTTGAATAGAATGATAAGGAAAGCCAATTTGAAAGATGTTTGGAAAGAATTGAAAGGAGACGATAAAAAATTACTTTTGATTTTTCAGTACATAAAGCTACTTCATGATAGATGATATATTTGTATAAAAGATCTGGTTTCTAGGCTGATTAATCCTGATGTGGATATTATAAAGGTAACTAATCATGCTTTGTTGAATATGAATATTAAAATTAGATGTGGTTATAAATAAACTAAATGTTGGAGTATTCTTCAGCGTAAAAATACAGCAATAAAAATGAAGAAAGAAATGAAGGAAATAAGGGGATTTATTGATAGCGAAAGTTGCAATGAGAGTATTATTTAGGATAAAATGAAAGCTGTGGAAAGAGGATTACGTATTAGAGAATCATATAGTTTAAAATAGTGGTTCCCATCCTTGGGTAACCCAGGTGTTCTTTACCAAGGTTGGGATCCACTGGCTTAAAAGAGGAAAAAAAAAGGAAAAATATATGAAAAAGCTTGAGGAAGAAACAAAATTAGTGGAAGGGAAATATATAAAAGAGAGACAACATTTTTATTAGAAATACAAGCAAAGAGAAAAGAGTTGCAGAATAATAAAATGGAAAAATTCAGAGAATTTAATAATGTATGAAAAGAAATAACCTTGAATTCAGTGAACTCATAAGAATTTAATTTATTGGGCCTACATGTTCAAGTAGCTTTATCCCTTGCTATTTGATATTAGGGTGTCACAGATAATTCGTTTTGCATTTCCCTTATATTACCATCTCCTCCTGTGGCTTCACCAGTTAGAAATGGATCTCTCCTCGTTTACGATCAAACAGTCCATCTATTCCCAAAGTCTTCTTACTTGTAATGAAGTAATAATATTCTCTATCTCTTCTTCTCTAAAAGACTGTTCCAGCAAATATCTTGAAGTCTTTCTTCCACATTTGTTGCAAAAGTACAAAATCTTTAGGGAGAAATAACAGTAACAACCCAATGAGGATGACGTATGTCCAGTGACGTACAGTATGTGTCAAGCTGACTGCTTGTTGAGAGCTGCGACAAAAAAATCCAAAGTGATAGGAATGAAATGAAGCTACTGGCACACTCCACATGGCAGCATTTCGTTACCAGTCCCAGCTGTAAATGTTCGTTACCCATAATGGCCAAATAGACCCCACTGTTTAAAGGTTATAGATGTTTGTTCTGAGGACAAACTACAAAGGAAAACTCTTGCTTGGGTGTCCTGCTGATGCTGTTGAAAGCAAGAGACTGAAATATCTGGATCTGAGTTTGGGCTTATCTCGCAGGGCTCTTACTCATTTCTTTTTAACTGAAGATGGGCAATAGTGAAAACCTGGCGGTGCCCCCAGAAGAAGCAAGTGTCTGAACAGAGAGTGCCGGGTCCAGCTTAACAGAAGCAAAATCTTCATGAGAGCTTTCAGGCAGAAATAGCGCAACTGGGTTGGAGTGAGTGACTAAGTAAACATTGCTGTCATAAAAACAAAGCAAAACAAAAAAAAAACCACGAACAACTCATTTTTAGACTGTTCTTGTTTTTTAGTGTCAGATTTTTAGTGCTATATCGTGAAACAGAGCACTGTTAATACTAATTAGAGCAGACATGGTTTTACAGGGAAACTTATGGGAATACATAGGACTATATAGCCTGCGGGGAGGTTGCTTCTGTATGATGTTTTTATTGTATAGTCACATCATCTCATCTCTGGAATTTGACGGGAGGTTTTGAGATGCCTTTTAATGGTTTTGTGTTTTCCAAACACATTTTTCTGTATCTTTTTATACTATAAAAATGGTTAAGGAAGTAAAGGCGGAATAACTGTCCAGTGCTTTTAGACTCGTGGTACCAGACATTAACCATTTGGAAGCACTCTTGGTTTCAAGAACTGGATTTGATTGCCTTAATATTCCTCCTCCTACACCTCGTCTCAGGCTTATCTTTTTAAATCGACACATTGAGTAAGTCATTCAATAACCTGTGGTATGTTTATCTGAAAGATTTTTATTTTTTTGAATTCACAAGTTGCTTTGTTACCGGCAGGTTCCTCCTTCTGGGTTGCAGTACTGAACGGAAATGTGGTAGGCATCGTCGCGGCAAGAGGCAACGAAGAGGACAACACGGTGGAGCTGCGTCGCATGTCTGTTGACTCTAAATACCGTGGTAAAGGGATTGCCAAAGCACTGGGCCGCAAAGTGCTGGAATTTGCCATGGTCAATAACTATTCCTCGGTTGTCCTGGGAACCACAGCAGTGAAGGTGGCAGCCCACAAATTGTATGAGTCTTTGGGATTCAAGCATGTGGGTGTTGTTGAACATTACACTCTGCCTGGGATGACACATTCCATTTTAGAAAGAATGTTTTTCCAGCTTCGCTACCACCGCTACTGCCTGCAGCTGCGTGAAGAGTAAAAAAAAAAAATCTCCCGTTTCCTTCCCCAGATCTTCCTTGCCCGTGTTTTATGGGGGATTTTGTCATTTTTTTTTCTTTGCCGATTTCCTTTTATTTTGATGGTTCTTCATTTCATTTTGTTCATTTGCTTTGTACAGATTCCTTTTACAAACAAAAGGGGTTCTTCTTTCCTGACATGCTTGTAGAGTGACTAATGCTGGTGCTAACGCTGGGGACACTGCTGGCTGGCCTTGATGCTGTTTGCGTGTTCAGTGGCCAAGGAGGTCAGGATGAGCATCCTCTTCTCCCCCTCTCCCAGTCTTGCCCAGGTTACCTACATAAGCACAGAAACTATACATATGTAACAATATTGCTTGTCTGGTGTGCGTTGTACATAGTTTTCCCTTCCCTGAAATATTTTTTTAAAAAAGCAGTGAAATCTTACAACACAGCTAAGTGCGGATGTTTTACTTGAATGCATTTCTCAGTATTTCATGGACACGTATGCATTCATGATATATTGGTTAATAATAACAAAAGAAAATGTGAAAAACCTGCTTGCGATAATGCATGAAGAGGAAGTGTTTGCATGCATTCAGACACACAGCACTGCCAAGTAGGCTCTGATATTGCACTTCTTTGGATGTACCTCATTCTGCCAACGGTCTGCAAGAATCATGGTGCATCCAATACCTTGTTCCCTTATTCTCGTTTTCTTCTTAAGCCAGCAAATATAAACCCTGAGCCCATTGTAATATATGTAAATTACTGAAATATCATCTGCTGTGATGTATATATAACCTGCAGTCCTGTGCCAGACATCTCCATATGCAGCAGAATTTAATTTAATTTTCATGTATAATTTTGTTTATTGTCTTTGCTTTCTTTCTCCAAGCTCTAGCTTTTGCTGACTGGTTTCACAGAGGCAAAATCAGCCTCCTGTTTCTGTGGCAACAAATCAGTATGCTAGTTTAGGTGCACCAACCTAAATGCTTCAGAAAAGCAATACACAAAAGACTGAAGTTGCAAATTGGGCTGAAGGAGGCAGGGAAAGCAAAGGCTGCTTTCATTGGCTGGGAGCCGATCAAATACAGACAGCTTGCTATAAAAAGTAACTGCTGCTTAATGATGTCACATTTGTGAATTGTACAGTACAATGCAAGCAGAAATGCAACACAGATTTGGCATGTGTCTGTACAATACCAGCTGTCAAAATAACTAAGCTTACAACTTCTAGCTTAAAATATTTCTGAAATTCTATAACATTTCAAGAAACAGCAACTTTTCACAAGGTATATCTTGAGGGACATCTGGAAGTTGGATTGTTTTTTTATTTTAATAGAACAGTTATGTTTGCACTTATGAATGAGGAATTTGACTTTCTAAAGATAAGTCCCATTTAATGTTTCATCATTTTTAAAAAAAAAATCCTAGGATAGAAGTTAGACAAAATGTTGTACCAGCAGTGTTTCAGAGATGAGATCACTGGTGAACTCAAGTAAATGAGGGAGTGACGGAGACACCATTATATTGCATTGAGGGGCATTGGTGGTAGGCAACCCATATCCGTTGTGTTGGTGCTTCTTCAATTCATCAGGTCAAGAAAAAGGGGGGGGTGCTTGCTCATTGACATGGAAACTAACTATACAACAGTAAAACTGATAAAAATGTTAGAACAAAGATGAGGCTACTAGTGCCCACAATATTCCTTCTGGATTAGAGGGTGATGACAAACCATTCCTCAGCATGCTTTCCGTAAAACAAAAATAGTTCTCCGTCCTCATTTAGGAGAGAACTTATTTTATAAATTAATTCCAATTCCTAGTACAGAGAAACATCTAGCACTGCAGTCTCCTTGCAAACAACAATTATTACAATGAAATAAAATGATAAGAAGAGACAAAACTCTTTTTCTTTTTAAACCTGCTCATGCCTTGCCCATGTTGGTATTCTTCCTGCCTCAGATGGTGCCATATATAGAAATGAGGGGATCAAACTGTGTCCCAGCAATAAATCAAATTGATCAGTGGTACAGATTGAATTTGATTTAAAGAATGTACATGTTGGAATTGAGTGTGTGTGGATTTGGAATGTATTTTTTAAAAATTTCTATGCTCTACATTTCTCTTGAAGGTAAAATGTGTACTGTGGGAAGGTGTAGGATAGAGATGTATAGTGTACAGAAATTGGTATAATATTTTCTAGCTGTTTTCAGTATTTTCATTAAATTGCATAACAGAATATTATAAAGTATTAGGGGAAAGTGAAAGAAAAGAATTGTTTGTGCCTTTTATTTATTAATTAATTTCATTTAATTTTTGTTCCTGAGTTACCACTGCACAAAATTATATCTGGAGACTTTATCATGCTGTTATATGTAGCCTAATTGATTGGCAGTGAAATAATGTGGGTGGTATCTAATCCTAATTGAATATTATTTATTTTTATAGAGGCACTTTAAGAACATGACTGGTTTTGATTCCTGTACCTTTGTAGTTTTCTTCCTTGGTAGCTATATGAAAATCCTAGAATATGCAAGTTCTACCTAGCTGAAATGCCACTGTATAAACTCACCTGTGAAGTTGCGCAGGGGAGCACGCTCTTGAAAGTGCATGGGTTTTCAAGTATTATTTATTCTGTTTCTACTGAATACTTTAGAATAATTAATTGTGTGCCAATGTAGGCAGGCATCACCTCTCTTTTGTCCATCCAGTTGCATTAGATCCTTTATACTGTAAATCAGATATGCTGTGTTTCGGATGTGGTACAGACCTTTCAGATGGAAATTATAGAAAGGGATATGTCATCTTCCACATGTGTAAAGGTTTCAATCAATGTAGAGCTGGTTTGAAATAGAGAAACAAACTTCTGTGGGTATTCCAAGGTGGTTTGGGCCCATGGGAGAAGGCATATTTTTAATCATCTCCACAACTAGCTTTAAATATATAGAAAATGGGAAGAAAGCATCAGACATTAGTTTCTCTTTCTGCACTTCCCATATAATCTTTTTATCTATGGCTTGTACATTGGGTGGTGAACATTTGGCAGCATGTTTACAATGCAACTTCTCACAGGGAAGAATCAGAAACCTGCTGTGAATGTTACATAGAAATAGTGGGTACAGAAAATTAGCAAATTAGATAAAAGGGTCACAAGGAGACATTACATATGAAAAGGGATTCAGTGGTCAAAATCCTGTGGCCTAGCATAGTAAATTGCACTAGAGGAGGCCTTTGGAATCAATGGGGATTTGGTGAGTCAACTCTTCCATACATTCCATTGATTCAAATGGATCTACGCTAACTGTGGCTTACTTTAGCGTAGAAAGTTGCAGTTCTCTCTAAATCCCCGTTGATTCAATGGGCCTACTGTAGTGCAATTTGCTGCACTAAGCAACAGGATTTTGGCCAATGTATAGTTTTATATAATGGTGATAGCCTGAAATAAAAGTTACTAGATTATGAATATCTAGAACAAGAAAGTGATGGCAGAAAAGAGCAGATGTATCAATAATAAAAGTGGAGCAAAAAGAAAAAGAAGAGGCTTAAACATCTATCAATGTAAATAAAGGGACAAATTAGATAGTATTGCAGGTGGTATTGCTTTTAATATGAGAGAAGTAATAGGGTGTAACAAGGAAACAGAATTATCCATCGTCATTACAGGAAGAATTGGTATCGTTCCAAGGACTTCATACATTTTATGGCTTATTGTCAATGTGGGAACAAGCTGACTATAGCCAGTCTCAAATTCCCACTGAAGGTACTGTTGGAAATATTTGGTATTTATATTTATAGAATGCAGCAACTTAGTGCTGAGCTTGTGGAAAGGAATAACCACTCTGGAAACGGCTAATAAGGCAAAAAACAAAACAAAACCTTATTGCTTATTAACTCAGGAAATCTATTTGTGGATATTGCAGGTGGAAAATATAACTAAACTTTGCTCAAGTAACCGATGGCCATGATTGCAGGTCTGCTGCACTAATTAAACGTGGAGAAGCAAGAAGAGGTGATGTCTGAGAAACCAAGAAGGAACCTTTAAAATACCATTCTGCACATAGATTTAGAAAATACAAGAGGAAAACACGCACAGGTCCATGTATTTCCCCAATGCCCCCATCACCAGTAATTTCAGATCATTTGCTACATGCACTGGTGCTGTATCCTGACAATTGTTTGAGCATCTGCCTACATAATTATAGAGTGCTTCTCACCAGGCAAAGGTCTACCCAAAATTCAACTGTTTTCAACTATGACGTGATATGTTGTGTCCCAAACAGATCTAAATAATACAGTTGCACCTGCATAATTACATTCTTGTAATGTTCTTTACATCCATTAATGTATTAGCTTGCTCCAGCTCTATTGATGGCAAGCTCAGCTCATTGTATGGAGAACAGAATGGCTGCATATGAATCAGCATCTATGCAAACATGAGTGTCTCCAAAGGCTAAAGTGGAAGTACTTGAACAACCCCGTTGAGTTCTTCACAGAGTGCGTCACTTCATGTATGCAATCAGTTGTCACTGGGATGTAAACACAACAAAGGTGTCCTAATGATCTCTGCACACATTTATTCACTGCCGTGTCTTGAGTTCCAAAACAACCTTGCAAGCCAACCTTACTTTAATTATCTTTGCTCATTGAATAATAAGTACAATCTGGCCCCAGCTCTTCAAGAGATAAATCTCATTTTCCTGGATTCAAACAATGTTCTATTTTTGGATACCAGTATTCTAACTATTATAATTTATTTTTGTTGCCAAGGCAAATTCTATTCAGTGCCTGGAATCCTGCTGGCAGAACTGCATGGTCATAAAGTGGATTATGTTATCAGCCATGGATATTAACTTCTAGTGGTAATTTCCTATCCCACCCCACTGCCATTTCAAGTCTCTTTAAGGATTCCTTTTAGCCTGAGGAGCCTCGATATGCGGAGGGTGAGGGAGAGCCTTTAATATCTAAATATAACTACTTGCAGTCCCAATTCCAGCAGTGGGACCAGCAGTGGTGATTTTTTTGATACTAAAGGCTCGCCTCCTTCAACCCAGGGTTCCCCAATGTTTCCCCAGGTCAAAAGGGATCCTTTGGGAGCGTCAGTACTTGAGGAGGATAAGAAACTTTGTACTTAAGATTAATATCTGAGGCTCTTGATGTTATCAACCTTTACCATTGAGGAGTTGTGCAACAGGCTTTCAGCTAATGATTTGGATCTTAGTTTACTCATTGTAAACCTGCAGATCAGACACAGAACTTGGAAGTATTACACTGCAATTTATAGTACCAGCATCACATACATATTTTAAATAAATAAATATGATGTGAAGGTGGGAAGAAACAAGGGCATAATGATGTTCTTTTTGCAAATAATGGTAACTATTTGTAAATAATGGTAATAATAGATTGGCAACATCGTGCAACAAGCAAAATTTGTTTGCTCCTTGCTAATTTGGGGCTCTAAAATGCATTGGGGGCATTTTGGAGATACTTTGAAACTCTTCTCAATTTTAGGCTTTTGTTTTTAACATGGTAGATGGAAAAGTACTAAGTGACTTTTTAATGGAAAGATAACAGCTACAAATTAATGGGCAGTGATGGCTTGTAATGATTTGCATAATGAAATAATTTTAAGGAGGTAGCTCTGGTAAAGTCTGATGGCATGGCATGCCAGGACTGGTAAGCTGGCTGACCAATACAGGCTGAGCAGAGGAACCTTCTAGTGATGTACCCAGAAAGTGCTGCTTTCACTTTAGAAGGGCACAGACCATGTGACAATGTTTTTCCCCCAATCGGTGGACAGTGGTTATCATCCAAATGATGCCTGCATGTAGAGCTGCATTAACTGTTAACTTTTTTGCTGCTTCCCTACTATTTTGCTTTATAAAGTTGGTACTGTTGATTCCCACAGATGGCCAAAGGGTTTGGCTTATTAAATTTAATACTTTCATTGTAAATCAGTGACAGAAAATCTGCTACCTCTCAAAAGCAGTTGTTGTATCACTAATGCCAAAGATGCCTGGTAGCTGAGGTGAATGGAGGATTTACACTCTGAATACCTTCTCTCACTTTTGGTAAATTGCTTAGCCAGCTAAACGCGAAGAATCTCATTTGTCATCACTCTAACCCTGGCAAAGGAAGAGAGAAGGAGTTACTGAGAGTGTCACACTGTAAATAGTAGAAGGCGGGACTTCCTGCCCTCCGCTCTACAGACTTTCTGAAAGTGACACCTTATGAACCATGGACGCCAGGAAGTCCTGCAGATTTCTGGTTCCCTCAGGCTTCTCCGCTGCCCTCCACCGCCACCACCAAAGCTGTGATAAGTTATTGTGCCTTAGAACACTTAGTAGCGGAACTGACAAGAAGAGAGGCAACCCTTGATTTCATTTTTTTAAAGTCCTAGTCTTATGAAAAAATGTACACATTGGCAAAATCTTTATGATCAATGTCATCACATTCAAGGTGTGTAAGCAGAAAATTGCCCAGGAACTATGAGCTGGGAACTTTCCCCTTTCTTTACAGTATAGGCCATTTAAGTTGCTTTGCCATGGATTTCAGACAGACAGAATGAAGTTTTTCTTTGTATAAAACGTAATAGAGATTCAGAATTCATAAGCAAGTCATGGTGATTGCCACAAGTTTAAGTGGTGTTTAAACTAGATCAGACCTATTCCTCATGAATATGTTCATCAATAGCTACGATTTAAATGGCATGATAGCTATTTCTTTCAGTTCCCCACAACACAGTTCTCCCCCACCAAGAAGCCCAGTTTCCACTTACCAGTACTGAAATAACTTACAATTTATAGTTATAAGAAAATAGGGAGACTTCAGGCTTGCGTATTTTGTTCTTTGAGCAAAAACCTAAGAACCACAAAGCAGAACATGATAAAAATGATAACACTTAAAATTAATGAATTTGGAGCCCAGAACTTTATTTTGAATATCAGATGTGGATGGAATTCATAGTTCTTTAACACAAAGCCCCATTCTTGATTTCCTGACCTGTTCTTCATTTCAGCTGTAAAACTGAAGGCTCTACCATCTGCCCACCAATTTTACCCTGAGGCTTGTGTAAGTAGTCCTGGTAATTTCATGGCCAATAAACAACTAGCACAATGTATTTTGAATTCAAGATTTTATTTCAGCTGATTCCTTCTTACCTCATCAAGTTTCTCAATGGTCAGACTTAACTAACTATGATAACTTAAACCTTTTAGGTTTCTTAGTGAGGCCAAACTAAACATTACATTTGAGATCTGTGACTGGATCTTCTGTTGTATGTTCTTCTCTGAAGAACACAAAGGACACAGTTAGGGTCAGGACCACAGCCTAGAGAGATTAACCTATTAGCTCCATGCCAATCTCCCAGTGTTAACACATACAGGAAAGCTGCTATTGCTATAGAAAAATATAGAATGAAGGGTTATAGGATGAAGGAAGAGATTAAGGAAGGAGGAAGAGAAAGTCAAGAAAGCTTGACTCTGCACCTGATATAGTAATGCTCCCACAGAAAACTGGCATATGGTATTTGCCTCCCTTGCTCACCCACCAAAGGAGATTTAGTACATTTTATAAGTGAAGATTTTTGTGGTTTTCTATGGCACTTTAAATAAACTGTAATAGAAATGTTAATATTTTTGTGAGCTATTAAGTCAGTTAGACATCTGGTTTAGTACATTTCCAGCAGTATTTCTTGGTATTCCCTCCACTAAAAGTTTACAATAGATGTTCTGTGAAACAGTGGATTCCCAGAGAAAACACATCAAGGGTTGCACAATGAAAAGACTGAGTAAGGGATAAGATGCAAGAAACAAGTGCTTGTCACCTGTTATCAATTTCTCCTGTAGTGTCTTGTTTTGTGTCAAGATGCTCTAGTCTTTGCATTGCATAATGGTCTCACAGCAGATGCTCAGCGACTCTGTGAGAATGGAAAGGGTGTCCTAAACAATCTGCATTTCTTCACACATAAGGAGGGAACAAACCTGAAAAAGGCTATCATCTATCTATCTATCTATCTATCTATCTATCTATCTATCTATCTATCTATCTATCTATCTATCTATCTATCTATCTATCTATCTATCTATCTATCTATCTATCTATCTATCTATCTATCATTAAGAGAGCAATACTTATCTTTGTAAAGCAAAGTGTTTACAACAGTTGGAAGCGAATAGGGAAAACTGGGTTATGGAGAATGTCACAGCAATCCAATGTTGGTCA